TGCGGGTGTATTTAACTGGCGATTTAAATCTACGTTTTGGTTTCCATTGTCAGCTTTGAAGGAGAAAATTATTGAAGAAGAGGGAACAAGATCAACAAAGTATGCAGGATAATTGAAGATACAATGTTGACATATCTATATGAATTGTTGTCTTTATATAGTCTTGTTCATGTGGGACTATGGTTTAGCATTTTAATACAGATTGAATTGAATTACGCAGAAACGGTGCGATGGGACAATTCTCAAAGGAAGACCATAAGGAGCTATGTTAGTGATCTCCGTTTTGGCTCTTGTGGGGTGGGCTGTGGGACGTAAGTCTATAAGAGGAGCTACGTGAATAAATTATATAGTAGGAATAGTGGGGAAATGCAGTTCGCGTCTGTCGCAGTTGCTCCAGGTGAGCGGGATTACAAGATTCTTTTGTTTTTTTGTTTTTTATTTTTATGTGTTTGTGACATCTTGTTACTGCGATCAGGTGGAATCAGTGCTGCAAGAATCACACAGGGAATGATAATCCTGTTGAATATGCTTGCGTTTAGCTCTGGTTGGTCGTGCCCGGGCAACAGTGGGACGGTTTAATGTTTGGGGACCAATCAAAGGTGGGCCTCTCTCGCTTTGGAGGAATAATGTATGGTAAGTAGTGGTAAACAACTTTCAAAATAGCCTAGATTTCCTCTTAGGACCAGTTTTACCACTCCATAATCGATATCCTAGGCTCTATTGAGGAACTATTATGTTGCCAAATCATGAGATGGGTCTCTTTAATTTTTTTTTTTTCTTTTAAGTTTTGAAGCTTGTCTACGACAGTGAATATACTGAATCAAAGGAGATAATCTTGATGCTTTTAGCTCTGGTTGTACCCGCAACAGGGAGGTTTATGTTGGGTGCAAAAAACAGATGGCTTTGTGGGGATATATAGTAAAGGGCTAGTGCCACACCTTTAATGCCTAATCCTTGCACTTTCCTCCCATACGATCCTAGGCAATAGGCATTGTCGCAAATGAGATCGGTTTTTAAAGTAACGTTGGGGTGGGTTTAGTATATTAGCAAGAGCAAATCAAATTATATATTTTATATTGATAATTATGGTAGCTGTATAGAAATTTTAAATTTTTTTGGAAGAAATAGAAAATATAAATATTTTCATAACGTACGTACCAATATAATTTTATAGAAACATTTTTTTTTGTCATAAAGAACCATAAAAAATTCAACAATTTGTTTTAGACTTAATTTCATTGACATAAGAGAAATGATTTATAAATCCATGTTCAATGGTTTAGTTTTGTTGGTTTGGATATTAACCAAAATGTTAATTACAAAACCCATGCATCATAACATATTGGGCCCTTTTTACTGTAACTTCCCACCAAAACGCCCAATAAAATAGGAAGCCCACAAGGTCTAATATAAATATATATTAAGCTCTGTCTTTCTTTTCTTTCTTTAGTCATGAGATATAATTTTATTTTAGCTTATATAAATTTTTAAAAAAAAAAAAAAAAAAGAAATAAAGGGATTGTCATCTTTTGTACATCTGCTACAACCCCAAGATGCTGATGCTTCGGTTTATTATTTTGTACAACTGGTTCTCATCTTTTGGCCCAAAAAGTTGTCCTTCCATTGATTATGGAATCCCAATTATGAACCAACACTACTCTTACTGGAAGAATAATGGATCATTTCTTATTTATAAATTAGTCCTTAATTCCATTTAACTAATTCTACCTTGCACTGCAAAAGTTAGAAATCAAATTTATAAAGAGAAATTACTATTACGTCCTCAAGTGTGACACTAAAGCATCCAGCGGCATCTAGGATGTGGAGATTTCAGTTTGGACCCAAAAAACTGAAGAAGACGAATCATTTTGATTCAATCGATGCACAACATAAAGTAAGATTTTCAATTTAAATTTTTTGAACCAAAATTTCTTTTGGTTGAATCTCGATTTTATGCAGATAACAAGCTTGGGTTTAAAAATTAGCCGACCTTTTCCAACAAAATCAACTAAAATTAAATGGAACCAAATCCACTATCATGATGTATAGTCTCAATATTTTTTATTTTTTTGTGTAAAATATATTATCCAAATGTTATTACTAGAGAACGTCTAATCCGACCCGAAACTTAGTCACAATTAAAACTCTTTGCAGGTGCGTTTGGCAGGATCGAATCCAAACTTAAGAGCTTTTCCACCTGCATGTACGTGTAATAGGAATTGATCCGAAAATTTTTTTTCACATATTTAGCCTATGTTATCAACTGAGCCACAACCCGTAAATTGTCTACTCTCGTTATTTAATGAATAAATGTTGTAATTATGGTATATATATAGAGAAATAGGAAAAAGCGGACATAAAAATGGTAATATGGTATGTATATATATATATATATATATAGATAGAGAGAGAGAGAGAGAGTAAAGCAGGCAATTCAATATGCTTTGATTAGCTCTCATTTTGTGTTTGTGCCTAACCCACCTTAATTCATTACTAATCTTAATTGGAGAACCTTCAACAGATCATTCAACTTGCTAATTACTTTATAACTTCTTTGCCATTTGTCAGTGATGCAAGAAATTCTGCACCATCCATTTTTTCAAATGCTTCAAAATTATTCCAAGCCCCACTAAATAAAATACCTTACTAGTAATAGTAATTACAAGTGTTTGGCTATCAATAATCATAATATTCTCTTTTAAAAAAAAATAACAAATTACTTCATATGCCCTGTAATTTAGTGAAAACTACAAGTCAAGACCTTTATTTTTGAAAATTAACTAAATGATCTATCTATTTTGCTTAATTTAATTAAATAGTTCTTTTAATTAATTTAACATTAACATAACTTCAAATTTTCTTTGTACACTATTTCCAAATCAAACCTTGAGGTTTTATTATCTTGAATATGACCAATCCTAATTAATAAATATAAACTCATTGATAATAATAATCTATTCATGTTTTTATATTAAATTATTATACAAAATTTGAAAACTCATTAAAAATAGTAATTCATTTATATCTTTAGAATTAATTATTATGTAAAATTTGACATAAAATTTGATTTTTTTCCCTTGAAATATTTAGTTGACTAACAAAAAAAAAAAGTTAAATATCAATAAATGACTGTTAAGTTTAATGACAATAAAATAAAAGGATTATTTTATTAATTTTAACGATAAATATCTCAACTTATAAACTTTATTATAGGGATTAAACAGTAATTTAATTTTAAAAGTTGGAATTTTAAAATTTTGGGATGGATGGCTTTAAAAAAAAAAAAATTCCGAACCATCCATTTCTTCCGAATCTTAGGACCGAATCTACTAAAGTACAATACGTGGGCCCGTTTCTCTGCTGAGCTTAGCTACTCCAATACCTTTTGGTTGTGGCCGCAAGTTGACAGAATTTCAATTTACACGGTGCGTGGCCGTGGATATGATTTTTATTTAAAATTTCGGGTAAATAACTGTTTAGTCCTCATATTTGTCGTAATTATAATTTTACCTCTCTTATTTAGTAATTTATACTGTTTTTTATTTAGGATTTAGCGCTATTAAACTATATAATTTTTCATTTAAAAGTATTATTTTTACAGTTGAGTAAGAGATTGAATAATACTAGTTCAATAGTAAATGCGAGGAACCAATAAAATGATAATGCTGTATGAAATATGAAAGATCAAATATCAAATACTACAAAGTACTTGATCTTCAAATTAACATTTTTGATGGAACAATTAAATAGTTTACCCTTTTAAACTATGAATTTATCATAATTTTTTTCTATTCTTAATTTCATTTTGTTTTAATTTATGCATGAATTGGGTTCAAATTAATATCATCAATAACATCACTCATATTCTTTAGTTTCTTTTCAACAATTAACTAAATTAGCAATATCATTAATATTATTTTCAATAATAAGAATTTTAAGTATTTCTAAAAATTAATGAAATTAATAATATCATAATATTATTTCAAATTTATAAAAATTTCATGCTTGTTTTTCTCCAATACTCAGTAAGGTTTTGAATTTTCCAATATTTTTTATTTCTATTCACTTTGAGATTTATATTATTAATATGTTCAAACTTCACTTATGAATCAGAAAATGAATCATAGATTTCTAATAGTATTGGAATTCAACTAATATATACAAGTAAGACTCTGAAACGAAGAAAATTTATACAATATTATTTGAATTTCTAAAAATAAAAAGTAGGTATAGGGACACATAACTAGTGGTTCCTAATTTTTAGATTCATAATTAATTAAATAATATAAAAGTTTATATCTATTGAATATAAATTTTTTTTTCTAATAAATTGAAAGTGAAAATAAATCGAAGTAATATGAATACGAGAGATATTCCTCTTTTCTAAGTAACAATTATAAAATTGATAAATATTTTTATGAAGAAAAGGAGTACTTGGACCTTAAACTGCACACTCTCCGTATAATAAAAAAAAATAAAGAGAAGACAGAGAGCTCATTTGAAACCAATGAATTCCACAAAAATTTGTAAAATTCATTTGAAAATCAATATTTTATTTTTGGAATGAAAAAAAATATAAATTTAAATTTTATAAATTGAATTCTATGGAATTTGATAAGTTTAACTGAAATTCTACTAAAATTGTGGAATTTATAACTGAAATTCTACTAAAATTATTATCACTAGTAGTTAAAAGATACCAACATTCATAAGTTTACAATTTAGGGTTTGAGATTTGAAATTTCTATTGCAATGATTTTGTATGAATATTATTTAGCATAGAAATACGTATGTAAAAAAAAAAAAAGAAAATTAAATCTACTGTTAAATAAACATGTTAACAGATATAAAAATGGCATGAAATTAAATAGTTTATAACATGAATATAAAAATGCTAAAGTTTAAAGTATTCTTTTGTAATTTGGATAATTTTTTTTTTAACAATATATTATGCAGATCTACAGACTGCACCATGTGCATGAACGCTTAAGTGCATAGCCTTTTCGAGGAAAGAAAGAAAAAAATTAAGTGGACAACAGTACAACAATCCCTTTTCCGTTTGATAGGGACAACCAGAGCAATTCGCTTACTAGAAAACAGAAAAAGCATTACGATGTGAGATTATAGAGAGAGATAGTTATGAAACATTTATAGTGGGCCAATCAGAGAAACAAATCCACCCTCAGAGAACTCTCAGTTGAGTATTTTAAGGGATATAGGACTTTCTTCTTCTTGATTTGCGTTTTTTTTTTTTTTAAACTCAGGTCAGAGTTTGGCTCTTTTACGGCTACGCTAATCCTTTCCTTTTTCTTTTCTTTTTCTGGGTTTCAATTCAATATTTTTAGCTCGTAACTTTCTTGTGAGCTAATTTGAAGATAACCATTTTGATAAATTTGAGATAAAGTTGCTTCCTTTTTCACATCGCAGGAAAGAAATTAATAGCATAAAAATGGCCGGTTCTCAATCTGTGCAGCCGCAGTTCATTGCAAGCACTGGAAATGGGAGTTTTTCTAATGCACCCCTTATTGAAAATTCTGATGTTGATCAAATAATTGTTCCTGATGTAACTTCTCTAACTTTTTATTTCTTAATTTCACTAAATCTTTCTGGGTTCGTAACATCGTTTTTGGTTAATGTACATTAGTTGTTTTTGTTTGGATGGCCACCATTTGTTTGAATTAAGGCCTCAGTCTCTTTCATATGAATGGTTGCGTATCAGTTTTTTGGCGTTTGTTTGGTTCAATAATTAAGCAAGTTTAAGTGATAATTGTTGTTTTCGTTTTGTTTTGTTGTTTATGTTATTAGTTTAATTGCATAAGGCTGCTTTGGATTCTTCTGCTTTCAATAAGAATTAAAATCAGTTTTTACTTCTTTTCCTATTTAAATAAGATGTGGTTTCCTTGTATAGTCAAAACATTTGTCTGTCGATCAGTGATTGCCTTACCTTATTTCAACTTATGATATATAAGGTCAACCTTGATGTCTTTTTTTGTTTTGTTTTTCTGTTTAAGTTGATCTGAAGATTTCCAGCTATTTGCCTCTTCATCTCTGACTTGATTGAAATGAGGGAAAAATCAGATAAAATGTTTGATAAGTTCAATAGAATACTTTTTGTTAATGATTTTATTGACTTTAATATGATAAAATTTATAGTTTAACTAAAACTGGTCAAATAAAATTTGTGGTTCCTCTTTTTTTTTTTTTTTGGAGCAATTTGATATCAGTTGAACAGAATGAAAAGCATAATCACTGGATAGCTCAGTTTATTTATATGACTAAGAATTTCTACTGCCACATAATTTTTGGAAATTCAAGTCAAATGAAGAATTGTATATTTGTAGTTGTATTGTAGCTGGATGAATGTTTGTGTGGATTAAGTCCTCCTAAGTCTTTTAGAAACTGCAATCATATTAGTCTCCTAAAATCTTCCATGTGGTCACTTAAACATTATAGATTATCCTAAAAAGTTCTTTGCTTCGTTCTGTAATGATATTAGTCTCCATAAATGCTTCATGATTGACACATATTGAATAATAAATACTTGCAACAATATCAGCATGACTTCAGTTGCTGGAATGGAATTTTTAGCCATGGATGCTCTCACTTTGCAATGAATCTTTGGAATGGTTTTAGTATGAGTGGGAGGCTTTTGAATCATATTTTCTAAAACTTATCAGTTATAAATGGACTGAGATTGGAAAAGTTCATGGCGAAAAAAGCTAATGAGGATGTAAAAAATTTATAGTGTCTTAATAAGAGTCTTCTCTTCAAAAATTTATATTTAGTCCTATAGGAGTCTTTTCTTCTTATTTAGTAGGATAGGCTAGCTTGTAATTGTATCAATAGCTTGTAATTGTATCAACAGATGGGCATATATGTAAAGGCATATGTATGTGTAGGTCAAGAAGGGATTGTTTAAACTTTCTGGTTATATCTCAGACAAATCCTCACATACCTATAGTGATCTTGTTTTATTTTTTGAAGCAGAAAAATTCTGTTCGTCCTATGTACAAGAGCTGGCTTGGTTAATCATTGCTGTACATATCAAATTGCAGCATTTTATACTATGAATGCATTCTATAAATTGTTCACCTTTTACACTGAAAACTTTTGCCAGTTTCCGCGAATATTCTTCTCTTGTAAGCATTTTTTGTAACTTTGGTCCTAATGGCTCTCAGCTTTCAAATGCCTCTATCTGAAAGTCTTTTATTCAGTTTGTGGTTGTGAAGCTCAATACTTGTAGATGGTGTCATTTTGCTCTTTGCTGCTGTGTCTCTGGACAGAGTCGATTTTTGAATGACAAATTACTTGACTGAAGTCATTTTCACTTTGTTTATGCAGAGAAAAAGCTGGAAAAACCTGTTTGCATATATGGGTCCAGGGTTTCTTGTTTCTATTGCATATATAGATCCTGGAAATTGTGAGACCAGAATTTCTTAAATTTGCTGAAACATTCAACGCCACTAATAATTATATATACACTAAATGTTCTGCTTTAACCTGCAGTTGAAACTGACCTACAGGCAGGAGCACAATACAAGTATGGGGTATGTTTGTTTTCTTATTAATCCACCGGCATTTTCTAATTCCGCGTCCTTGGTTTTCTACAACGGGTTGAGAACCATAAATCTGACCAGGGGCATCATGCAGTGCATACCACTGAAAGTTGTCCACAGTGTGACAATTGGAACTCTTTAATCCATTTTAGCTTCTTCACTAATGTGCAACAAAAGCTTTGCCTTGAATATGGTAGGCGTTTATCTGATGATTCTCCCATAATCCGCTTTCCCAGCTGATTAAATGCAACAGAATGAGGGTTACATTGTTTGGCCTGGTCTCAATAAATTAGAAGAGCTCCTATGTAGGCACATCTGGTGTTTCTACTTTCTAGAATCAATATGCCTTTCACATAACTAAAGTAGGGGCCTGTCAAAGTAATATTTGTTCCCTCATGCAGATGCTAATAATTTTTATTTTAGTTCAGTACACAGCACCACTTTTCCTGATCGACTTTTTGAATTTTTCCAGTTACTGTGGATCATATTAGTGGCCTCATGTGCTGCTCTTGTTATTCAATCTCTAGCAGCCAATTTGGGTGTTGTCACAGGTATAATGCATCTAAATCTGTCAATTATAGCTCTTATTTCTTGTACTATATCAATGTTAATGTCTTTTATGTTTTTTGTCAAATGTTTATTCATAATTTAGGAAAGCATTTAGCAGAACACTGTAAAGCTGAATATCCTAGGGTGCCAAACTTCATCCTTTGGATTCTTGCTGAAATTGCTATTGTTGCATGTGATATTCCTGAAGGTAAGTGTTGGTTCATATGCGTTATTTTTTTTAAAATTCTGTACATGTATAATCAATTTATTGATATGGGATTCTAAATTGGATGTTTTTTGATATTTCAAATATATGTTTCGATATGCATCTGCTTATGACTGTCTTTACATGTATGATTTTTTGAGATATGGCCAAAATATTGATTCATTCCATGATACAAACAAGTTTTCTTTTGCACTATTTTTTGCTAGGATGTTTAGTTTCTTCCAAATGATGTTGCTCTGTTTTTCAGTGATTGGTACAGCCTTTGCATTGAACATGCTCTTCAGGATTCCAATTTGGATTGGTGTTCTTCTGACTGGGCTTAGTACACTAGTTCTTCTAGCATTGCAACGATATGGGGTATGCTGATTCCTTCCTTTGCCATCCTTCTTGTAACTATGGTTGAGAAAATTTTTAACTCGCCTTCGTTTTCAAATTCAGTGGACATGAGGCTTTTCTCTTCGTTTTCAAATTCAGTGGACATGCATCAAATCTGCTTAACCACTCATAATTTCCTCTTCTAGGTCCGGAAGCTTGAATTCTTGATTGCTTTTCTCGTATTCACAATTGCTGTATGCTTTTTCGTGGAGCTTGGCTATGCAAAGCCTGCTGCTAATGAAGTTTTATATGGGCTTTTTGTTCCCCAACTTAAGGGAGATGGTGCTACTGGCCTTGCAATTTCACTTCTTGGTGCCATGGTTATGCCGTAGGTGTTTTATGCAATAATGTCTTCCAAGCTATCTTTTAGGTCCCTTCCATTTGAAAAACATTTTTATTTTCATTGGCTTTATTGCCCTCTTGTAGGCACAATCTCTTCCTCCATTCAGCATTGGTGCTTTCCAGGAAAATCCCTCGATCTGTCCGTGGTATCAAGGTAAAACCTTGAATGCATTAGTCTAATCTTAATCCTTTGCTGGCATGCTTTAACATGCCAAGTATGTTTATGTGGACATGCACATCTATGAGAGGTTCACTATAAGTCTGGCACAAGTGAGCTTTGATTTTACAAGTGATTGAAAGTAACTATTTCAGTCTGCTGCTTTTAGAAAACTAATCACCACTAAATTAGGAGGTGCTGAAAACTCAAGATCTTGAACCATGAGAATGATGATGGTGTTTTTCAAAATAGTTGACAGAATTGACTCAATTCTTGTTTGCAGGAGGCTTGCAGATATTACTTAATAGAAAGTGCCTTTGCTCTCGCAGTGGCCTTTCTCATTAATGTGTCCGTTATTTCTGTTAGTGGTGCTGTTTGCAATTCCTCAAATTTAAATGCTGAAGATCAGTCAAACTGCAAGGACTTGGACTTGAACAAGGCTTCATTTTTGCTTAAAGTATGTGATCTAACCACATTTTCCAATGCTATGGTTATATTTCTCAACCTGATACGGTGCTACACTTGATAATGTTAAACTTATACCAGATAATATATTTTAGTTCTTTAGTTTCTTCTGAATGTAATATTTGATCTAGATCTGCTTCATGATGGCAGTTTTTTCCCTCATTTATAGAATGTTTTAGGCAGTTGGAGTTCAAAACTTTTTGCAATTGCTTTGCTGGCATCAGGTCAGAGTTCTACCATAACAGGGACTTATGCAGGGCAGTATGTCATGCAGGTACTTGCTAATGACTTATAATTGTTATTTCTTAAGGTCGATTCTATAAATTTACTTGCCATAACTGCAACTACTACTTTCTTAAGTAATAAGGCTTTTTAGTCAGATTTTTAATTTCTTTCAAGAATTTAATATTTCGTAGTTCCTATTGTTATATTGTCAGAATAAGTGCACAGAAACCTTCATAATGATTTATCAAAGAAATGATCTTTTTAACAAGTTACTTTACTTAAAAAATTAAACATTAGTTAATTGGTTCTTAAGACTCACATATAGCTAAAATACTCTCTTCATTTGCCTACATTTTTCTTTGCGTTTGATGCTAGGGGCTATGTTTTTTTGTTGTTTGACATTTTTGCAGGGTTTTTTGGATCTACGATTGACACCATGGATACGAAACTTTCTAACTCGATGCTTGGCAATAGTCCCTAGTTTAATTGTTGCACTCATTGGTGGCTCTAGTGGGGCTGGAAAACTAATTATTATTGCATCGGTACGAGATGCTTGCCTCTCTAAAACTATTCTACTTTTGGAAAAAATGCATTGATTCATAGGGAATAAATAAATATTACCAAGGTGCATGTATATTGGACTTGTTCCATATTGCATTGCTTAATGTCTCCTCTGAACTTGGTAAAGATGCACAATGTTTGTCTACCATCTAATTAAATGTGAGAACAGAAAGATCTATGTTCTTATGGAGTATAGTTTTACAAGTAGAATATATTTAGGAGAACTATTCCATCATGTAAAGCAAGACTTCGCTCGTGGCTGCATTCTCACAGGATTTTGTAATTGAAAAGATCTGCTCTGGTCTTTCTGGAACCCTTAGTAAACACATGCCTTTAGGTTCGGAAAGCAGACATATAATCTTTTCTTTTCTTTTCTTTTTTTTTTTTTTTTTTTTTTTTTTTTGTTGAAGAAAGATTATGTTTTATGGAGTATAGTTTTTACAAGTAGAATATAGGTTAGGGAACCTATTCCATCATGTAAAGCAAGACTTCGCTCGTGGTAGCATTCTCACGGATTTTGGTATTGAAAAGAATCTGCTCTGGTCTTTCTGGACCCTTAGTAAACACTGCCTTTAGGTTCGGAAAGAGACATATATCTTTTTTCTTTTCTTTTCTTTTTTTTTTTTTTTTTTTTTTTTTTTTTTTTTTTTTTTTTTTTGGGCCTGTAACTCCAAGTGGGAATTCTCTTCATAAAGTTAAATAACCAAGTTATCCTTGCTTCACTTGCCTCATTGACCAAAAGGAATTTGCTTTTTAGTGGAAAACATTCATTTATACATTTCAAATTATTCATCATGATTTCTGTTATTGGACAGACTGAAGGGCTAATTATTCTTATTGACCCATATCTTACAGCAAGTTCACGTTTCATGATGTTTTTGCAGATGATTCTATCATTTGAGCTCCCTTTTGCTCTTATTCCACTTCTTAAATTCACTAGCTGCAAAACCAAGATGGGGATGTACGCCAACTCAACTACGGTATTGCTCTATTTTGAATCTGTTATTTGGTTATACATTAAATTTGGAGAACCCAGATATTTCTTGAGAATTTTATTCCTAACTAATCACAATTGGAATAGATCGCTACAATACATATTTGTATATATGTATTAAGCACACTGGTACCGATAATTGTAACAGAAATCATTACCCTTCAAAACTGATATGTAGCATACTTCTTTGCAGATTTCAGCCCTAACTTGGCTTGTTGGTTCCTTAATCATGTCAATAAATGTATACTTCCTCGCAACTGGCTTCATCAAGCTTCTTCTTCATGGCCATTTAAAAGTTGTTGCTGCTGTCTTTCTTGGTATATTTGGATTTTCAGCTATGGCATTATATCTGGCCGCAATTGCATACTTAATATTTCGTAAAAACAAGGGAGCTACTCCTCTTTTGGCACTAACAACACCGGAAGCTCGAGAAATGGCTATCGGGTGTGGTGATACATCGGTGCATGATCTCCCTAGAGAAGACATTGTAAATATGCAGTTACCTCAAACAAGGTCTACAGAAGATGTTTTCTAGTAATTGGTAGGGTAAGTCTGATCTTAGGAAGGCAAATTCTCCAGGAACCCTTTCCGATTTTGCTGATCAAAATAATAAGTTTTGGTGCAAACCTTTTTCTTTCCTTGTCATGGGTTTCTTAAGCTTATGGAATCATGCATGGAACAAAAATCAGAAAATTCGTTTCTAAGGTTTGTTAATCCAAGCTTTGTTTAGTCTCTATCCACATCTGACTTTAGCTTGAGGCTTTTCTTATGCAATATATGTTTATTACATTTGGAAAATAATTTCACTAACCATTTCTGATATGCACAAATTAGCTTTTCAATCTCATAAATTCCCCTATTAATTCTATTTTTACGTGCATAACCTTCAACTTATACCATGGCTGCTACTCACTTTTCTTTCTAATTAAGTTCACTGTTACCTGTTATTTATTTAATCAATAAACACTATGTTGTTGTCAATAGATGAATAATACAAGAAAATGTACATTTGCTTCATTATTTTATTTTGTAATACAAGGATATTTTAAATTATGTAATACCTATTATTTTATATAATGTAATTGTTTTTTTAGAAAGTAATGTAATTAGTTTTTTAAGTGATGTACTTATCAGTTATCATTAAAAATTTATATAATTTATTATTCATTTTTTGCATTCCCTTTCAATAAGTGTCTGAATCGTAATTGCCATAGCCCTTGGCCACCTAGCCTCACATTACAAGCCATCTGCCTTTCTATATGTTTTTTTTTTTTTTTTTTTTTTTCACCGTATACCACTCCTTTTAAAAAATGTAAATATAAAACAAAATTTCAGTTATATCATAAAATTTCCTTTTTTATTTAATTTAAATTATGGAAATATAACAACATAGTGCCCCATCACCCAAAAAATAGGTAATTTCCTTTTCTTTAATTGTTTATTGTTTAAAATTATAATCTTTATTTATTTTTTTTTTAGAAGGAAGAAGATAATTTTTTTTTTTTTTTTTTTTTATCACCGTTATACCACTCCTAAAAAATGTAAATATAAAACAAAATTATCAGTATATCATAAATATTTTCCTTTTTTATTAATTAAATATGGAAATATAACAACATATTGCCCCATCATCCCAAAAAATAGGTAATTTCCTTTTCTTTATTTGTTTATTGTTTAAAATTATAATCTTATTTATTTTTTTTTTAGAAGAAGAAGATAATCTTTACAGTTTCTCTTCAATTCCTATATATATTTTTATTAATAAAATATATCACTATTACTATAAATCAAATATAGAAGTAGACAACTTCTCATAAATAGACAATTAATTAAAATATGAATAGAAAATATTTTACTGTCATTCCAAGGATTCCATAATTCAACTTCTCTAATTAGAGTTTAAATTTTGTTCAGTTTGAAAATTTTAAATTTAAATTCTAAATTATAAAATTTAAATAAAATTTAAAAAAAAAAAAATTCAAACTTTCAATTGCCGAACTAGAATCCTAACGGGTACTGACCCGCCCCTTTTTGACAGTCCAAATTGATGATGAATTGATGATCCAATTGATTCCAACGAAAAGCCAAAAATGGTTTCACTAGAGTAAGGAGCGAGTCACTTGGTATTCAAATATATACTTGGTTTTGCATTTCTTGTTTTCCAATTCAAAAGTCTCGAACTTTCGCTTCTTACAATTGTCTTTTCTGGGTCGGTCTCTGTCATTGTGTTTGTTTATATACTCTTTGAGTATCTTTGAGTATCTGAGAAAAAGAAACGTAAAATGGCGGGAAAAGAGGTTGAACAACACCTCATAGATGATGGGAATAAACTCCTGAATCCACCATTTTCCATTGACGAGCTTCTTTCTATTCTTGAAGTGAGCAAAACCCATTTCTTTATTTTGCATTTATTATTATTATTATTATTATAATTATTTGTGTACAGTGCACATGTTTTTTTTTTTTAATTGTTTATGCAATCTTTATTTTTGGGTTATGGTCAAGGCATGATAGGGTCTGTAAACTGTTCTTCTTTTTTGGGTTTTATCTATACCTTTATTTTATTTGAGTTCTGCTGCAAATCAATTATTTGTACCCCTGGCTTTTGTTTTTATTTGGAGGGGGTTGTTGATTAGAAAAATAAAATATGAAATGTTGTTTCTTTTATTCTTCCAGGAATGGAACCCACTGGTAGTTTCTAGCATTTTGATGGTATTTGTCCAATGTTTTGGCGTTTTGGCTTGGTTCTTTTTAAACTAGTTTTACCAATTCGAATTAATACGTCTGATGATAAGAATTGGAGAAGGAAATTAGGAAAATGAGATATGTTGCTAACGAATACCATGGCAATCTTAATCTTGAATGCTATCTAAATTTAATGCAATATTTTCATTGTGTCCATGTGCCAGGATTGGCATTGGATTTTGAGAATTTCAATTGTTTTTATTAAATCTTTTTTTTTTCCCCTTCAATTGGTTTTGATCCTGATACATGCAGTATGACAGTATATTCTTCTTCTTCTTTTATTATGACTTATAGAGACTTGAGGTTTCTCTATCAAAGGTGACACAATCACCATCTGCATCAATGATTGCTGCACTTTCACCTTCGAGGAATGCTTTGGTTTCTGACAAACTTTTGAGACATTCAGATACAGATGTAAAAGTTTCTGTTGCTGTTTGCATTAGTGAGATAATGAGAATAACAGCACCCAATGCGCCTTATGGTGATGAGCAAATGAAGGTGATCTGAATATATTAGATAACAGTTTTTGTATTTATGTCTTATCGTTATGTCATATTTATTTATTTATTTGTTTTATTGTTGCACAGGAAGTATTTCATCTGATTCTAGCTGTGTTTCAGAAACTATCTCACATGTCCAGCTGCTGTTACTCAAAGGTGGTATCAGTCCTGGTTACCATTGCAACAATAAGGGCAATTGTGGTGATGGTGGACCTTGAGTGTCATAGTTTGATTGTTGATATGTTTCACCTTTTTCTGAGAGTTACCAGGTAACTTCCTTAAAAATGATCTGGTTTTGCTTCCTGCCTCTTGCAGGTTTAGCTAACTGTTTGATGATAAATATGGGTGAAGTTTTGTTTTATTTTCGCAATTTACTTTTCCAAAGTTTTTTGAAGTTAAACAGAGGGCAAAATTAAAACCATTCTGTAGGTCTGAAGTTTCGCATGATTTGGAATTTTCTGACATTTAAAAATAAAGATTCTGAATTAATTCTTTCATTGACTTATAGTCTTTGACAAAGTGTACAATCTATCTATTTATCAGTGCATGTGTAAAAATGGGAAAGCCTCTTTCTATGTGCATGTTAGTCATAAGATGGTAAAGCACAACTAGAAGTACGTAATTCAGTTTTTTGCTTTTTTTGGCAAATGCTTTCTTCATATCCCTATATGTTTTCGAGTTGTTGTGTCAACTATATCATTGTTTGTTGTTGATGTTAATTGGTGGTTTGTATATTGTCTTCTTATGTGTGTTAGTTTTAGGGGTTCATCTTGTAATTATTCGAATTTGTGGTTCTAGGCTGCTATTTCATTGCTACACAAGGCTGAAATTGCATGGAGTAAATTGGGATAAAGGACTATAATTATACTCTTCTATGTGCTAGGTAGAATGTCATAAATTTGTATTCAAGGTGCTAATGAAATTGGATCAGCTGCGGCTGTAGGCAATGTATTTGTTATAGGCAGTTTGTAGTGGGGGATTTGTCCCTTGTCATATTATTCTCACAACAGCAGACCCTTTAGGGGAATTGGAATTGGTAAAAAATTTTTCACCAACAGTAAATTATCGTCTTATCCATTAACCCTGCTTTAGCAGCAACATAGGAGGTTTCTTAGTAGTTTTGGCATATCTTATGCACTTTTGTCCTCTTCTCTTCTTTCCTTGGAGAGAAGAGGATGATTTAATGTACATTTTTTTCACTAAGAATCACTGCAATCCTAAAATGTAGAAACTCTACTGGTTCTGCCCATTTCTTTTAAAATCATCTATAGCAGCTAAGAACTTCAACTTGTTACAATTATATCCATACCCTAGATTGTCTCTCTAAACTATATGCCCTTAATTATGGAATGTGCTTATATGGATGTGTTCAACACTTTTGAAGAATAAAACAAAGCTAAAGCTGACAACAGTTTAGTAATTCAATTTTGCTATTGGCCCTTACAATTAGCTGTCATTATTACAGCACAGGCTGTAGAAAAAAAAAAAAAAAAATTCTAATTCACATCAAAACTGTTATAAATAACTGAATTCATGGTCACTATTGATAATTATAGAATTGGCGACTACAATGTTTTTTTCAAAAGATGCATATAGTTTTAGATTTTTCTCATCATAAATCTTTTATTTATTTATTTTTTCAGTATGATTTGTCTTAGTTATATTTTTTGTTCAATCTAAATCTTGGAATTGGAAAGATGATGTATAAGGTTCCTTTGGTTGAGAATGGAATGAATGCTTTGAGTTGATTATGTTGTCATATTTTATCTTTTAAGAAATCAATAACATTTTCTTCTTTTATGATCAGGATGCTTTTGCTATCAGTTATCTTTATTTTGGGCTTAGAATTGTTATTGACTCTGTTCTTACTTTGTATTTCCAACCCCTTCTAACCCCTTTCAGCTTTTCTGATTAACTAATGAGTGAATGGTATATGGCTTGTGAGTGTTCAATATGAATATGTTTTCTCTTTTAAGGTCAAACAGCTCAGATGTTGTATTATCTGCCATGGTGTCAACAATGACCATTGCCATATTGGAAAGTGATGAGATTTCTTTGGAGATTCTATTCCCCCTTTTAGCTAGTGTGAGAAAGGAAAATCAGGTAATTAATTTTTTTTCTCTGACTACAGTCTTGAATTCCACTTTAACTGTAAGTAATGATGCTAGTTAGGAGTTTTGTTTTTTGTTTTTTCTCAGAATGTTTTCTCAACTTCCTGGAAGTTGGGGAAGGAAGTTATTGGAAATTGTGCTGCAAAGATTCAGCCTTATGTTTTGAAAGCAGTGAACAGCTTAGGAGTTTCTGTTGACAGTTATGATGAAGTAATTGCTTCTATTTGCCGCAATGCAACTGACAATGTCAAGTCTTTTTATGCCCCTGATTCTGAGAAACATTTGGTTAGTATGGAAACGAATTCTGCATTGGTTTGATTGTTTTGCTAGTCTGATCCAAACCTTTTTGCCGATTCTGAATCCTGGCATGAATTTACTAGATAACAGTGTGGGTACTGGGGCTTTTCCCAAGATTTATTTGGCATTCTCTTTGTTCATTGAAATGTTTCATTTTTCCTTTTATTTGTAATAGGAAATTGTGAATATATGGAGTTCATGCCTTGTGTTTCTTATTTGTCCTTTCCTGAAAATATCATTTCCCTAAGTAGCACCCATATTATGAAGACCCACATCAATTATATATAGCATATCAATTAGCATATTAACTTCTGCAGGAACAAGAAGTCCCCATGACAATATCACTTAAGCAAAATCTGCAATGCCAATGAACACACATTTGACTCATGTTTTAAGTGATTTTCTCTATCTGATGCATACTAAAACAGATTACTGATGAAAGATCAGCTATCCAGTGTAGGGGTGGGAAGAAGACTAGGTGCAAAACTATCTCTGAAAATTTTGGAACTGAAGAAACTAATGACAAGGTAACTGAATTTGATTTCAAATCTTCTTGATTGTTGTTCTATTTATATGAGTGGTATTTGTTATCTTATTATGTTTTTATTGAAGAGATTATATTGGCCATAGCAGTGCTTCCGTTTCTGGAAACCATCTCCACCCAAATCATGCCACTAACTTTGCAATGGTTTTAGTTGATGAATAAGTTAGATGCTTTGTTGATTGAAAAATTCATGGTAATGGAGAAGAATGTGTTTCGCATAATTTTTAGAAGTAATGGTATAGAATATATAAATGCATGTGGGTAATTCCTTATTGGTTAACTACAAAGCAAGTAAATGGCTTACAAGAAGCAGGGAGGCTCTACCAAAATGGTTTAGGCAATTTTGTACCAAAGATAATTCCAACTCACTATAAACACAATTTTTAAATAAACATTACTAATGAATTTGATTAATTGCTCCTAGGACCTAGTTTTGACATGGTATTGAAACTTGGGACCTATACCCATTACCAGTGAAATCTTTTGGGTGGGCCTGTGCTGAGGCCTACATCCACTTGAGTCATACCTAGGTGGATGCATATTGGCCATCATATACTTGGTCAAGTAACAACTAAGTTTTATCCAATTATCTTACCTGTCTGCTACTTGAGAGTGGAGTTTTGGAATATATAAATGCGTGGATAATCCCATATGTTTTAATTACAAATAGACTAAATGGCTTATGGTGAGGAGGGAAACCCAACCAAACTGGCTTAGGTCATTTAGTGTTAAAGTAAGCCCCACTCACTATAAGCCCAATTATTAAGTAAATATTACTAACGAATTTGATTAATGCTCCTAGGATCCAGATTTAACAGGTAACATTAAATTAGAAAGTCTTGGAATCATCTTTGATGCAGTCTATCCTATGTAGACTAAAATTTAATATCAAGAGACTCGAATGAATAGGGGGAAAAAAAAGAAAGCAAAGCTTGTCTAGATGTAGGCGTAAGGTATGATAGAATTGCTTGTGTTGAATGGTTAAGAACTGCATCAGATATGTTCTATTAAAAAGAAATGTTCGTTAAAGATGTAAATGTGGAGATTAGTTTCAAACATACAGCATTGTTGTGACAGATCATGATGGCTACATAGAATTAAATAGGTTTCATGGTCCTTTATCCCCATTCTTCACCTCTCCTCCAACCCGAGTAGAGTATAATGATATAGAAGATATATTGATAATTATCTTGGCATGTTTATAAATAATTCCACATTTCAGTTGATTAAATTGAATCATTTAGTCTGTTGTCTGATGCTTTTGCTGTTTCTGATGTGAATGCAATTAATCCTCAAGTGACACGTATATTAACAGGGACAATCAGTAGAGATTCTAAGTGCTGGTTCTTCTTTTAAACTGTAAGTTTTGCTTTTGATATCTATTAACTTCTCTTGCGGGAGCATGTACCATTTGTTCTGTTGCTTGTAAAGTTTCTTGATAATTTCATAATTAATTTTTTGACATGTCAGTCTCTATATTTCCCTTTAATCACATCCATTTATGCAAAATATTCATCTTAGTTTACAGGCCAGGTCAATTTAGTTGACACACCAAGTTGCTTCCAGCTTCAGCCCTTAAACAATGATTAATTTTTTGGAAGGCAAATCAGATATAAGTAATTTCAGTTTCTAGCCAAGTATGGTATAAAGACAACTGGTTATTTACACAGTTCTCCAACTATCATGTTACCACAGATATTAGAAGCAATCCAGAGAAAGTCTGGCGAAATACTTGTCCATAGATGAACCATCTCTAACATTGCACTAAAAAGATTTTTGTTCCTGTTGACGAGAAACAAATAAGAAAAGAAATGGTGTTATGCAGTTGATGCCCTATGTTTCATTGAGATTCTGATGTGGTTAAGCTATCCCATGAAAGCTTTTAGTGGTGATTAATTAGGGCTTTCTATGTGACCTTTGTCTTAAATAGTAGCTTTCTCTGTGACAAAAATCTGAAATTTCCATGTCATACTTTCTGTCATCATATATCGAGTACTTTGCATCTTTTACTAAAACTGTAGCAATGGAGAAATACCCGTGACTTCTTTTTCAATATTTAGGCATTTTCACTGTAAGAGAAAACAGTCAGTCTTGGTTGTGATAGGAGATGGGCATTTTTTCTATACTTAACAAGTCCTATCTTATGTAGTCACATTGAATGGCTAGTTCCTTCTATATATACGCCTTGCCTTCATATTTTTCTCGTGTTTTTATTTACTTGCAGCTTAACGAACTTTTTTTTTTGCAGGCATTTGCAACAACCAGCTACTTCCACCAAGACTTGTTCAGACCAATGTGTAATTCCATGGAGTTGTGGAAAGCAAAATCAGAACCAAGAGATACATATCCCATCTTCCGAAGATTCATTTCCATCCAATAGTGGAGCAGCTATTATATGCAGTGAAATGACATTAGTGGAAGGCTATGAAGTCAAGGCTAGCGTTGCACCTGTACTTAGAGCTATATTTGCCAAGTATGGTGATATCGCTGCTAACTGCCAGTACAAGTCACCATCCGATAGGGCTAGTTTGCTTGAAATTGTATCTGATGTTGTTCACCGACTGCAAAGCAGTGACATTCCGCTCACACTCTCTGAGATTAGAGTCCTCCAAAATGAAATGAAGGATTTGGAGTCTACAAGGCTTAAGCTTTCATGGCTAACCCAGCCATTAGAAAAGATTTCTGAAGTTGAAAAAATTGCTGAGATGCGTTCTATGCTCAAGTCGGTGAAAGCAAATAGCATGATGGTGATAAAAGCAGCAACTAAGGAGTTGGAAGAGGCACTTATGGAGCTAGTGGCATTGCAGAAGCGGATGGGGGAGGCTGAAAAGCGTATAAACGCAATGAAGCTTGTACTGCAAAAGGTTGATGATGCCATTAGAGAGGCTGAAGATCAGGAGCGCCTCTGGCTAAGACAGATAAATGAGCTTCCATAGTATGTTTTATCTGCTGAAACAAATTAATGGGCACATGTTTTTTAGACACTTAGAAGCCTAATGTTCATCAACTACATTTTAGTAACCACACAATTCAACTGAGGTGTGTAGGCTTTTGTATTTGTTGGAGCTGGTTGTTCTGTGTGGTTCTTTTTTTCATGCTAGATGAAAATTCATTTTTCCTATGTTGATGCTTTCTTTTTCTACCTATACTAAGGTTTTCTTATAGCACTTTGATGTTGCTTAAATAGCTATAAGACATTCTGATAGGTCAATTTTGTCCAAACTTACATGCATCTAAATTTATTTAGAGATATTAGTTATTCGATTATTAACTGTATTTTTTATGAGAAAGTTGGAATCTTTAGCAGTTTCTATGTATTAAAAAAACAAAGTTTACTCCCTAAGGTATATTTGCACTTTTCGCATTTTTTAAGAAAATTATTTAATTTATTATAAATTATTGAATAAATTGACTATATTATTATTCGATTAATTAACTGTATTTTTTTATGAGAAAGTTGGAATCTTAGCAGTTTCTATGTAGTTAAAAAAACAAAGTTACTCCTAAGGTATATTTGCCACTTTTCGCATTTTTTTTTTAAGAAAAATTTATTTAATTTATTATAAATATAATTGAATAAATTTGACTATATTACCATTATATAATTAAGAGATATTTTTGAAAATTATAACCATTAATGTTAGGTCAATTTGCAAGGGTAGGTAAAAATAGAGAAAAATTGTTTATTTCTTTAAAATTTGATAAACTTGACCACTTATTTATATTATATATATATATATATATATATATATATATAATATTAATGCTTTACAACTGTGGTATAATGCTTTTACAACTGTGACAATGATTTGTTGACAAAGTTAAAATATAACATGTTGATGGAAAAGTAAGTGGCTTTGATTTCTATAAATGTGAAAATATAATTTCGATATTTAGAGATTGTATTTAGTACACAAATTAAAAACCTTTATACTCTACAATGCAGCAGAAAATTAGACCCTGAAAAGCTTATACTCACAATAAAATTTAATGTCGGAAATACTTAGAATAAAATAGCGGGATTTTATTTAGTCGTTTCAATTATATCATAATATGCAAAATAATAACTTGATTCAACCTTTTTCTATAAGTAACAAATATATGTTTTCTAGTGATAGTAGTTTATTAATTATTTTTTTTCCCCTTTTTCTGAATCACGTGTTTGTTGTATAATTATTAATAAAAATAATGATTAATTAATTAACAAATAAACTAAGTCTTTATTTTTCTTTTATGGTAGACAATTTTGCAAATATGACAAATATACTCCCAATATATATTTATATATATATGGAAATGACATCCTAACCTACCCGGAGAGTCCCAATTAAGCATCTCTTCTTAATTTCTTTTGTTAAAATTAATTTCGCTTCCTTGTCAACTTGTTAGGTATATTTCTGATCAAGCTTCAGACTTAATTTAATTTTATTAACTTAAATTTCTCATATATATATACATAATTGCAATCCCTGTGATTGGACACGAAATTAGTATGAAGTGTTTGACGTGTAGGCATGGCCATAGTGAGAATAACAAACCATGAAAGATAGTAAAATAATAAGCACCATGGAACAATGGTAGAAGATTCAAATAATAGAAACGTGACCGCTTACAACTCTATGATCTATGTTTAGTGAACGTTAGAAAAATGAAAATAAAAATAATTGGTTGAAAAGTTGCCAGCAAGACAGCAAATTTCCCATACCTTTGCCAACCTCAACAAATGCAATCATATTTTTCTGGTACGTGAGAGTTAAAAATGATGTAAGAGTTTCAAACTATAGTTCTCTATATTTTAAATTTTTTGCTTCATTTACAGATGTAAAGGGTTTCCTCTTTATTATATTCTATTATTAATATTAGGGTAAATAACTATTTAGTCCCTCAATTTTAGTTATATTTTATTACTCCTTCCTCCATTTTTAATGTAACATTACTATTTAGTGCATCACATTCAATATTGAATTACTATTTAGTTCCTTATCTAAGATAAAAATGATGCTTTTTGGATAGAATAACTAAAAAGTTTTAACGGTTTTAAACTTTAGAGACTAATTACTGTTTTTTTTCCTAAATAAAAGAGATAAAAATATAATAATGACTAAAATTGAGAGGCTACATAGTTATTTACCCATAACACCGTATTAAACTCCAATTGTTCAAAAAAAAAAAAAAAAAAAAATAAAAATTGAGAGGCTACATAGTTATTTACCCATAACACCGCTAATTAAACTCCAATTGTTCAAAAAAAAAAAAAAAAAAAAAAAAAAAAAAAAAAAAAAAGAACCGTAAAATTTGGAAAATTTGAAAACTTTCAATAAAATATTCTATTGGTCATTTTTTAGATTATCGGTGTTTTCAGTCTTATATTGTAAGGGAAGATATTAAACACAATGGCACTGAGCTTTTATTCTGAGTATCGCAAGAAATTTATTATACCACTTATTTCTAGAAAGCGTCTCCTTAATTACTACTAATTAAGCACAAATTAGTTAAAGAGAGCTTTATTATGCAAATGCAGTAATAAAAATAACCACCCTAAATTAATATATTAGGGGTATATGATTACAACATGTGATCAATTAAATTAAAAGGCAAACACTTGGACATCTTATGTGTTTTTTAGGTTCATTGTTATCACTATTTTTTTTTAATAACGGAAAGGGGGTTGTGGACCTGTTCCCTAACTTGTGGTAGCTAAATCCAACCTTCTTAGGATTGAATCCTAACAGAGTCTTCAGGCTGTTCTGGGATTGGAAGGTGACCCCTTTCTTGCAAGCTTTTAACAGTTTCATATAGGCATTGCTTCACTGGAGTAAATTCCATGCCAAGGTCCTTCAGCTTTTGGTTAGAGAACTTGTAAGGTTTTGCTCTTGGATTCTTCTCATCTGAACACCTGCAATTATTTCACCAAACAAATTTCAGTCTGACTTTTCATAATATAAGGAAAAAACCTTGACCCATTAAGCGTAATTGCTGACATAATCTAAGTAGTTTCTAAGCTGACAAAATGTTTCTAAACAGATAGGAAATTAGGAATATAAATGAAATTAAATAACAGATCACATTTGACAAAGACAAAAAAAGTAGGTATAAGAAACTATGCTCCACTAATTTCTTATTTGTGTTTTTTTTTTTTTAATGGAATTTCTTTCCCATCAAATTGTAGATGATTCCAAGTGCTGTTTTATTGGTGGGTTTGATAATTATTGGCCTTTTGTAAAGTATAAGTCAAGAGTGGATTTAACAACTACCCCACCCCATCACACACATTCACACCATAGACATTGACAAAGTCACAACTCAAGGTGTTCTTTTTTTTCCATTTAAAGCCATAGAAGTTTCAAAATTTATGAAATTAAAATTATGTATTTTGAATTCCATAGGTTTGTAGAATGTTTATTTTGTTTGATTAAATATTAATAATTCCATCAATTTAGTCATTTAATTCCACAATTTGTAATAAATTTATGTGCGATTTCAAAATATATCAAAATGAGAAATTGCAGTCAATAAGGTATTTTGAGCTTTAAATGGAATTTTTTTTATTTTTTTTAACCAAACCAGGGAGAAGACTGAAATTGGGAAAGTGGGAAATATAGACATTGAATGAGCACATAGTATATTTTATAGATAAAAAGTAAGTACCTATTATAACTACTTAGATGAAAGATCGGACTAAAGAAAGATCACTGTACCAACAACGAAATAAAAATAAAATATATCCCACCAACTATCCATGGATTTTACCATGTTTTCATTGTGCTAAACAAGAGAAATTGTTCAAAATTCTCATCAAAATTTCCATGCAAAACATTACCTTAGTGTTGGTACGTAAGGGCTGATGAAAGAAATTAGAGGTAAAAAAACTAAAATAAAATAAGAATAATATTTAAAATTTTTTTATTTTCATTGATTTGGTCAATATTTTTCTTCGCTGATATTAGAAGAAAGACTTTTTTCGATATTGGTGCGCGTGTGCGCATTAAATTAGTCAAAAAAAAACCATGTCCATGGGAAGATAATTCAAAAAATCTAGACACATTCTAAAACCATCAACGGCAGTATTACTGTATTAATTTGTATGGTTAGAAAGTTTAAAACAGCAAGAACTTAGATTAGCAATCAAGTGCCATCAACTGTGTGATTTTAGACTTTAGAGCATGTCACTTGTGATCCTAAACAGTAAACACTAAATTTCTTTATGGTGGATTCAATTTTCCCTGTTTTTTTTGTTTTTTATGCCCCTAATGAAACAATAATAGAATTGGCCATATCAGTTGACTAATCGATGAATGTTCCATCACGACAAGGACAAGAAAATTTACCTTGTGGGGATAGGATACTCAGGAAAGAACTTAGCAAGAATTTCCACCACGTCTCCACGGTGGAGGACGCTCTCAGCACAGAGGTATCGGCCAGAGGCCGAGGGTGTCTCGTAAACAAGAATGTGGGCAACTGCAACATCCTTAACATGCACATAAGCTTGAACGGAATTGGCATAAGTCTTGGCTGAGCCAGTTAGGTACTTAAGGATGTGAATAATGCTTGCATTGACAGTGGATTGCAGCAGTGGTCCAAGCACCAGAACTGGGTTCACCACCACTAGGTCCGCCCCTTTCTCCTTGGCCACTTCCCATGCTGCCTGCTCTGCCACAGCCTTTCCATAGCAGTACCAGTTCTGCAACCAAATTCATGAAAAAAAAAAGGAAACGAACTTATTACACTATTATCTCAATGATTGAATTTTTATCTAATAATATAAGACACTAGCTGTTCAGGCCTGTCTCTTCCTTTAAAAATATCCAGTGTACCAAAAACAAGTATAAATTGTAACGTAATTAATGAAAATGCCAAATTTAGCTATTCAAGGTGACATTGAATGTTTGGTGGGGATATTTTATTTATTATGAGGCCATTTGACCAAATTTTGGTAAACAACTCTACCTTTCAAAGTTCTGATTATATACTTATAAGAAGCTCATAACAAATCCTAAATCTCAATACCCGTTAGTCCAAGTTGCCTTTTTAATTAATTCTCGACCAAATGGACTCGTCTTAGAAGCAAAAAAGTTGACCATTCAATAGAATATTAATATAGCAAATAATTATAATCCTGAAAAAAAAAAAATATACTAATCATGGTGAATCAATTAACCTTAGTGTTCTTGCAAAACTCGAGATCGCTCCAGCAAGATTCATCAACAATTGCATCAGGGTTCCTATTGGGATCCATGTAAACAGCACCAATTGATGACGTAAATACCACTCGCCTAATTTTTGCCTCTGCTGCGGCAATGATCACATTTTTAGTCCCATTCACTGCTGGCTCCACCATTTGTTCCTTCAAAATTTAAAAATATCATAATATTGCTAGCTTAATGTATCAAGTATTGTTTTAATTACTAAGAAGGAGATTAGTATTAGTTTTAATTAATCACTTACACCTTCTACTTAGATATTTGAGGATGACTAATGCTCTACCCTTTTGCAGCAATATTATGTTTTAAGGACTTAGCTACACGCATGGGGTGACCAATTGAAAACAGTTTTTTAATTCAAACAATGATATTTTTCACCTTTCACTGACTTTTTTTTTTTTCACTATGGTGATGCTTTACAAAAGAATTTTTTTTACAAAAATTTACAATATAAAGGTTAGTTTGTCTAATTAAATGATCACAAGTTGTGCTAATGATTAAAAAATTTTCCAAAAAGAAAAAATTAAGGAAATGAATTTTTTTTTTTTTTTTCGGAGAAGGAAATGAAAATGTTTTTGGTGGGAAAGCAAAGAGGCTTTAGGTAAAGTGGGCCAATAATGGAGCATGTACGGTAATATATACGCTAGTGGATTTGGTTTGGTGGCAGCGTGGCAGAAAGCAATCGGCAAGTTGAATGGGGAAACTCTATTGGATCTCTCAATTTTTAACCATGTCAAACTCTTTACCGGCGTCCAAACAGAAAATTGTTTAAAAAAAAAACACAAAAACAAACATACAGGATCATCAGTAACAGGAGAAGCAGTATGGAAAACGCCATCACATCCCATAATGGCCTCTCTAAGTCCTTCATAGTCAAGAAGATCAGCTTTGCATAGCTTTAATCTCTCCTTAGCACCTTCAAGCTCTCTCAAATGAGCATTTTTCGGATCCTCTAATAAATAAAAGCAAAAACAAAATTCAACACTAAAACTTTCATAAGAAAAAGAAAATTAATTAATTAACGAATGATGAGAATTGAGAAGCAATTAATTAATTAACCTGGATTCCTGACAGTTCCTTTGACAGTATAACCTTTCTCGAGAAGAAGTTTTACGATCCATGAAGCGATGAAACCACCGGCGCCGGTGACGCAAACAGTTTGGCCATGACCGGAGAGTGAAGAGCTGTCAGCCGGCATGTTGCTGTGATTGTTGTCTCCGGAGAGATGGGGGATATGGTTGTTTCAGTTTTGTTTTCTTTGGTGGTTGAGAGAGATCAAAGAGAATACAAGTGGCGTATGGGTTGTGGCTTGTTTGGAATGGACAAGTGCTTGTAAGGCGTAATTTATAGGGAGCGAATATGGAAGTACCGTATCCACCTACCGCAACTCAGAAAGACGGAGAGAGAGAGAGAGAGAGAAAAGGTAATGGGCAATTTATTTATTTATTTCAAATTTTGCTTGAGTAACTGGTTTGGGTAGCAATAAGTAGCGGGTATATTCCGTCAACCACATGTCATAACCAGTCATCGTTTACATCTTAATTGTTTTTTTCTTTTTAATTTTTTCATATTTAATAACGGAAGAGACTAGCGTTGGTCTAAATAGGGGTGTAAATAAGTTGAACCGGCCAATGAATTATTCAAACTCGGCTTGAGAAAAGTTTTAAAAAGCTTGACTCGGATTAAGCTCGAGCCCGAGTTGGCTCAATAGCAAACAAGCCGTGCTCAAGCCTAATGATATTTAGCTTGAAAACTCGTTGGGTTTTATTGAGCTTTTATTCACACACACACATATATAATATTTATTTTAAACATATTCGAGCTCGAACCGAACTCGAGCTAAAATTTTTTAAGTTGAATTCGAGTCTCAAATAGAGCTCGAGCCTCAAATCGAGCTCGAGTTGAGTTAAATTTTGTCGAGCCGAGCTTGAACCTGCCATCTTTGAGCCTGGAAGTTTCAAGCTCGACTTAAACCATTTACACCCCTAGATCTAAGTGAAAAGACCTCAAGTCTTAAGTAAGATGTTGAATGTTTTATCCTTATAAATAAAGATAATCCCTTAGAGCGCTTCCCTCTTACATGCCTATTTATTAGAGGACAAAGCACATTGACATTAAGAGCCACTTTTTTGGTAATGTTATTGCTGAAGGTAACATTTTAGTTAAAAAGATTGATATTAGAGAGAATCCATTGGATATGATGATTACACCTCTTTTAGTGAGCAACTTTAAGCATTGCTTGGACTTGATTGATATTTCTCAAAATTGAGTTTCACTTTTCTAGATAGAGCTCAATGGAGAAGGTGAAGAAATGTCACTAATTTTTAAATCTAGTAAATTCAAATCAAGGTGGAGATTTGTTAATTGTGCCTTAAATTTCTAGAAGCCTAAACATTATTTTCAAAATAAAGTCTTTGTATTATTTTGTTTGGATACAAAGCATGAAGTTAACTTACCTTAGATGCAATGTTATAAGTGGAGTTATAAATAGAGATCATGGCAATTAGGCTATTTTTTTAATAGGACGAGCGATATAAGTGGAGTATGTGAGATAGTTCATTTTGAGAGTATTTTCTCTTGCCCATATTTTTGCTTGTCGAGCTCTAGTTGAGTTAAATTCTATCAAGCTGAGCTTCGAGTTTGGCAAGTTCGAGCTCGGCCTGACTCATTTATACCCCTAAGTCTAAGTGAAAATGTCTCAAGTCTTAAGTAAGATGTTGAATGTTTAGAAAAATCTCTTTAAAGCCGCTTTCCCTCTTACAGGCCTATTCAAAGGAGAGGACGAATCACATGAACTTAAGGTATCACTTTTCTTGTAATGTATTTCTGAAGGTAACATTTAGTAAAAGATAGGTAACATTTTAGTTAAAAAGATTGGTATTACAAAGAATCCATCTCCTATGATGACTAAGCCTCTTCCAATAAGCAAGTTCAAACATTGCTTAGACTTGATTGGTATTTCTCAAAAGAGTGGTTTTCCACTCTTGAACCTACTAATGATGTTGTATTGACGGAAAATGATGAATCGTTGAATGTTTTGGGTATTGGTACAATAAAACTCAAAATGTTTGATGGTGTACTAAGGACATTGAGTGTGGTTCAATTCCAGACATGTAGAAAAATCCCATCTCTTAAGTACATTAGAGAGGAGGGGTCACAAATTCAGTGGAGAAGATTGCTAACGGTGCACTTACTATGATGAAGGCATAAATATCTCTATGAATCTAGGAACTTTTGCTTGTATTGTATTATTTGGTCTACGTACCAGAACTAATAACATTCGAGATTATGCAGGATTATGATTTGACAGCTATATGTGCTACAATTGTTCTCTCTACTTTATTATCACATTCTGATAATACCAAATCATGGCATATGAGGTTAGGATATATGAGTGGAAGAGGTTTGAAAGTTTTGAGTAAAAGAGATCTTCTTTGTGGCAAAAGTACAACCAAATTGGAGTTTTGTGAACATTGTCTCTTCGGCAAACAAAAGTGATTATGTTTTAGTACAACAATTCACAACACTAAAGCTACTTTGAACTATATCTTCAAATATTTGGGAACCTACTCGTGTTATTTCGAAAGGTGGTGCTTGTTATATGCTTAGCTTTATTTATGACTACTTTAGGAAGGTATGTGCTTATTTTCTGAAGCATAAGAATGATGTGTTTACCACCTTTAACTAATGAAAGGCTTTAGTAGAAAGACAAATAGGCAAAAAGATCAAGCGAATTCGTGCAAATAACGGATTAGAGTTCTGTGGTAATGAATTTTAACAAATTCTGTAAAGATGAGAAAATTGTAAGACATCTTACAATGAGAGAAACTCTTCAGTAGAATGATGTTGCTGAATTCATGAATTGAACTTTGTTGGAGAAGGTTCATTGCATGTTATCTAATTCTGATTTGTCTAAAGATTTATGGGCGGAAGCAGCTTCGACAACATGCTATTTAGTGAATCATTCTCCATCAACAACTATTGATTTGAAAACTCTAGAAGAGTTATAATTAGGAAACCCTCTTGATTATTCTGATTTGAAGGTATTCAGTTATCTTGTTTATTTCTATGCAAGTGAAGAAAAATTGAAGCTTAGATCCATAAAGGGTATTTTCATTGGTTACCCAACTAGGGTCAAAGGATATAAAGTGTAACTTCCTGATCACAAGCCACCCAAGTCAGCAATCAGTAGAGATGTTGTTTTTTATAAAGTCAAAATGATTAATCCAAAAATGAGACTCTGTTATTTTATCTGACACAACTCCAAAAGATTTAACTAAGAAGGTGGAGAGTATACCTCCACAAAATGATCATTCAGAATTCTTCCTCAGTTCGAACAAAACCATTGTCATGAGAGAATCATCAAACGCCAAGAAGACCAAAGATGGTCCCTAGAAGATTTCTTAATACAAATTATGTTCCTCTTGCAGTATCATGGCATAAGAAGCAGACATTGTTGGTGAGTCATCTACATATTTAGAAGCAATCTATTGTAATGATTAAACCAAATGGCTAGTTTCCATGCAGGAAGAGATGAAATCTCTTCATAAAAATCAATCTTATGAATTGGTCAGACCGCCAAAAGACAAGAAGATCATTGGATGCAAATGGTTCTTCAAGAAGAAGGAGGGAATTCCATGTGTTGAAAGATGCTAGATACATAGCTCGATTGATTGCAAAGGACTATAGTCAGATTCGATGCATTGATTTCAATTATATTTTCTCACATGTTGTTAAACATAGCTCTATTTTAGTCTTGCTTGCTTTAGTTGCTATGTAAGATTTAGAATTAGAACAACTGCACGTCAAGACTACTTTCTTGCATGGTGAACTTGAGGATAAAATTTATATACAACAATCTGAAGGTTTTGAAATTGAAGGCAAGGAAGACCATGTTTGCTTATTAAAGAAATTAATGTATGGTTTGAAACAATCTCCTCGACAATGATACAAAAGGTTTGATTGGTGCAACACGACTATTTTATAAGCCAATATGATAGTTGTGTGTATTTTAGAAAGCTTGGTGTATACAAATAAATATACACATAATATATTTATTTTTTTAGTTTTTAAATTCCAATTTCCAAGTTTATTTATTTATTTTAGTAGCATAAAATTTAATATTTTATTATTTTTATAGAAAAATTTTCAATAATATGATATTAAATGTTTAATAACAGTATATTTTCTTAACTTAGAGTAGAATTGATATCAAAAAGAGCCCACTTAATTGAAGTTTAAAGACTAAATTTGTAATAATATGACTTATAGAGTTCAAAACAAATTGACATTATATCCTTGTATTTAAAATGAAAATGACAATATTTTCATTTTCCATTTCAACTTACAGTATAATTTATATTAAAATTTCCAAATTTAGGTTATATAATGGATTAAAAAAATCATACAATTTGACATTTTTTCTTCTAATTAATATGAAAATAACATTAATTTTACGTCCCATTTTTTCTTCTAATTAAATCAAAAACTTTAATTTTGAGTGGCTAGGCCAGGTTGCCTATAGCCGGCACATAATGGCAACCCCGACCGGTTGGTCTTTCCTTTGACTTTTTTTCTACCCTCTAATTTTGAAAAAATTTTTTAACTCTCCTGAATTTAAATTTTGATTCCGTCACTATATACAATTGAAAAAAAAAATTTAGAATAAATTTACTGATCAAGCCAACATTAATTTGATAAAAAAAAAATACTATTTTATTAATCTTGATCTATAAAACGAACACGTATAGTGCTCAAATCTTTAACAACAATTTTTAACTTTCATATCCCTTCCGTTTCAATAAAATTGACACTTTTAACTTTGTGCAAGAATTTATGAAAGAATCGAATCATCTCAATTTTAGAAAAAAAAAATGAAGTAATTGATGGATTACTAGTTTATTAATTCTTTAAATAATTAATATTTATTTAATAAAAATATTAAGAGATAAATATAAAAATAAAATAAAATGGTTTTATTTTTACATTTATTTTCATGAAGTCTCATACAAAATGACAAAAAAAAAAAGTGTTGAAGAGTTTGCATTAAAATGTTATCTTATAAATTGGTTGTCAAAACCCTTGATATTTTTAAAACTATTTTAGCTAAATATATGAATTTATCCCTATATTTTTTTAAAAAAAATTATACCACCCAAAATTTACGAGCCATCTATCATATTCATAAAATTAAGAATTTTAGTAACATTATACATTTTTTCACACTAGTAATAACAACTTTATATTTTTGGAACAGGAGTTACTTTATGTGTTCTAAAGTTTATTTGGAACAGAGTAGAAGATAAGTTCATCCCTGATAGAAATCACAGCAACAATATTACATTGATAAACGACGGTGGAGATAAGAATTGAATCTATGATCTTTAGTTAAGAATACTTCCACCTTAGCTACTAATTTAGGGCTTCATTGACAGTTACTCGACCA